ATGACTCCTTATTGTGCACTCTAATTTGGCTGGTTACATGTAGTTTTAAAATGTACAACCAGAAAAGGGGAGTCTCAAATTCAAAAAATAGATAAATCACTGCTGGAACCTGAAACTTGAAACATATGCCACCTCTTCATCTGAAAAGATAATTCCAACATTACATGCTAAAATTCCACTTTTGACATACAGTAAACTCCATTCAGAGAAAACACCATTTGCTGTCTTCCAGATAAGGCATAAGTGACTTATTGCTACTTCCACAATCAAATGCTGGGCTTTCCCTTACCGTTTCAGTAACTCCTCTCCCAAGTCTGTCTTAGGAGGATCTAGAGACTCCATTATTTGATTTTATCGCTTTTTGCACTGTCTGACAGGCTTTCACTGTGTTTCACTTTCACTCACTAATTGTGTCTATGCCCTCTACATACATTCTTTAAGAACACGGCTATAAACTGTGAGGCAATTGTACAAAATAGGTGTTTTTTAACCATGCAAAGAAGCAGTTTAAGAATAGTTTTAGAGTCATAGGGAATGGTAAAAACATTCTCTTAATTTTGAAGATGCAGGAAACTCAGGTGTGTTCCTGTCTGTTGCACAGACTTCTCACATAACAACATGCAAGATCATAATAACACTTCTGCAGCATTGGCCTGTTTTAAGGTTGCACAGGCATTCTATTAAATTCATGTATCTTTTAAAGAATCCATGATTTTCATAGATTCATAGGTTGGAAGGCACCTCTGGAGGTCATCTAATACTACTCCCACTCACATTTAGGCAGATCCAGTTCAGGGCTGAATATCTCCAAACCTGGAGATTCCACAACCTCTTTGAGCTTCTGATCTAGTATTTGACCACTTGAATGGGGAAGAAGTTTTTGCTGGGATCTAATTGGGATTTTTCTTACTGCAACTTGTGCCCAATGCCTCATGTTTTCCCACTGTGCACCTCTGAGAAACTTCGGATCTGTCTTCTCTAAACTCACACATTAGGCAGTTGAAGACATCAGTAAGATTCATCTTCAGCCTTTTCCTTTTAAGATGAACAGGCCTAGCATCTTTCTTACCCTCTGCTTGTATGTCTTGTGCCCCAGTCCCCTAATCATCTCAGTGGCCTTATCCTGGACTTGCTCTAGTGTGTCTATGCCTCTTGTACTGGGGAGCCCAAAACTGAATGTAGTACTCCAATACGGTCTCAGAAGTGCTAAATACAAAATAATAATCACTTTTCATAGACTCATAGAATCGTTATAGTTGGAAAAGACCTTCAAGATCATCAAGTCCAACCGTAAATCCCTCAACACCATGCCTGTTAAACCATGTCCCTAAGCACCTCATCCTCATCTGCACATTGTCTTGACCTTAAAGCATGAATTCCTTAAATTTCTTGCCAGATGCCAAATGTGGGAACTATTTGCATACTGAGTCCTATCAAGAATTAAGTAGTAAATATTTTCTATCATCAGATCTGCTTCTCTTCTCCTTGTTAGACGGAATTATCAGAAATAGAGCTGATTGATTGATTGATTGATTCATACATACTTCATTATCTCGATCCTTTTCCAGGAAGTGACGGGCAACGTGACTGGGTAAAATGTTCCGTAGCATATTCTCATTGTGCTCTCTTAATTCCTTCATTTCATTGATTTCTTCTTTTGCTTGAACACGCCACAGAAAATCCAGCCTTGCTGTGTATTCAAGCTGTAGTTCCAGGGAGAAAAAAAAAAGGTAAAAGTGAAACTTGACAAGATAAGAGTAGCTCTTTTACTGACATCATGGAAGGCTACCCCTGCTATATATATGGCTTGGATGCTGTAGAAAAACTTTGACTCCTAAATATTTATTTCATTGCCAAAAAAAAAAAAAAAATGCTATGCCTATGGTGAATGTCTGAGAGGAAATTTGGAACTATTTATATTTGTCATATTAGTGCTAATCTTAGTGGCTAAAAATTTTCACAAAGTTATTCTCTCTTAAACTGTTCCTTATCAATTAAATAATGACATCAAGGAGTCATACAGGAGTTTAGGTAACGGAAGATGAAGTTCATTTACCAACATAAACTCTTAAATCCCAACATGGAAAAAAAAAAGTGTTTTCCTTTTCATATCTGCTTCCAAATGAAATGGGTTTCATGGGGAATCAACAGTGATTCCAAACACTTTGCAGAGAGAGGTCATTTTTTTTCTCAGGGATGAATATCTTTCTCTCAGTAAAACTAAATTCAACAGCTGAAAGTACTGTCAAGGAGAATTTTTAAGTCTGTGATGCCAAAATGATGTATTTCTACTGTTAGGATATGCACTTGCATTTTCAAGTCTTTTAAAGGAGAGTCAAAGACAAATTGTTTGGTATCCCCTGAAGACTCTCTCCCTGTTGTATTGTGCATCCAGTGCCTGTACATGCAAAATGATGATACCTTGCTGGCCTTAGCTAAGAAACACAGGGGACAGAATGTACTTTGAAGATTTGATACTCTAGTCAAGAATAATAATCAGATACTCAGCATAGAAACATATTATCCCAGCAAATAAATGCAGTTGAGAATCAGAATAGATGCCAAGCAGCTTGTCAAAAAGTGCTGGGATTAAGAAAGTGGTTGAGATGCAAATCGCAGTAAAGAGCAATCCTGCTTTGGGTGGGAATGACTAACAGAGGATTCAGGTATTGTTTAATGACTCATCTTGTCCCCATTTTTGTCATCGGCTGTGAGCAATGGCAAACATATCAGCAAAAAACATCAAGCCCTTGCAAGGAGGCTTGCAGGTTGACTGTACTCCAGGGAACTTCTAATTTTTAAATTAAAGATCTTCTGTCTTGTGGCTATTAATTCCCTAACATTAACTGCACGTCTGAATAAAGTATCTCTTGCCTCATTTTCCTTATGTTTTTCAGTTTGTCTTTCCCCTTGATTTTCAACATTTTTAACAACTAATGAATTTATTTTTTTTGGAAGTGGTAGTGGAATTCTGTTCTATGAAAGATTAACATCTCCAAACCTGGCTCAGTGGAGTAGCAGATAATTTTTATATTTTAAATAATTTAATTCTGGTTATATATAACTTCACTGTCAAAGGAAAAAGGTCTTGCTTTTTCAGCAGAGAACTGAGATGATGCTTTCAGTTTTGGGATAAAATGATGAGCTAGACTGAACATTTGAAAATAGATATTTTTTAGAAGTTGCTCTCTTATGTTCTGATGTTTGCTAAACCCAGCAAAATTATAGAGCTGAATTTTTGTTCTTGGAAAGAAATGTAATGACTATGCAGTGGCACCCCTGAAGAATGATCGAGCATAATATAAACCTTGAAATGTCCAGGTTTCCTTGCCCTGTCAGGTAGTTCTCAGAAACATCCCTAATTGCACTAGCAAGTAAAGAAAATAGAAACATTACCCTGAAAGCCTAACAGTCCTCATCTCCCTGAACACTGCTACAAACCAGTCTCTCTGCACTGAATTGCCACACATAAAGCAAGCACAAAATAAAGATCAGCACTGGGAAGGCAGAATGCTTTTCTTTGGAGAAGTAGCAAGGGGAAGATTGACATCCCAATGGGGCATTTCCCACTAGGGGAAATAATCTGATTCCAGAAAAGCCAAGTACTTACAAATATGCTTTCTTTACTATCCTAGCATGTGGATACAGAAAGTACAGTGAAGGTGATCTGCAGCATACCATCAGAATTAGGTACTTCATTTATTTTCCTCTTTCCATTAGAGGTATCTCCTCCTTGCATTTCCTACCTCCTCATCCCGTCTTTTGACTACGAGGGAGAAGGCTAAGGTCACGCTTGCTGCAGATGAATTGCTGCATAGGGAAGTCAGTCCTTTCTCCTTTGCAACAGGACTTTGAAGAACTGAGAGCTGAGACACAACTCCCACATCCAGGGCTTATTAGGAGCTTTGCTCTCTGTGTCTGCTCTGGCAAACTTCAAGTTTTTTCGTACACGAAAGAGTCCCAGAAGCAGAGAAGTCAATTATAAAGGCCAAAGCTAGTCTAGACGAGACCACTTATCTACAACTTAGAGAAACCAGAGAAAATGTTTTTCACAGAAAATGGTTTGCATAGAAAATGTTCCCCTTAGCTCATTAAAAAGAGGAAACAGCAGATAAATATGCTTCAGTATAGAATAGTTCTAGAATTGAAATTCATATATATGTATATATATACACATATATATGTTTATTTTATTTTCAATTTGATTTGCAGAAATATTTATGTACAATATTTATTAATTATGAATATATTTTAAATATATTAATACATATTTAAAGTATGTGTTTTTAGATTAAATTTCTAACAGGGAATTATCTTATTTAGCCTATTGTGTTTAGCATCACAGACCATCCAGATTTACTTGCTGAAGTTCATGTGAGGTTTTAAGAAGACTCTGACTAGACAATTTCACAACTTATTTTTTCTTGATAAAAATCTAATTTAAAAATCTGTGCGTAAGAGCAGGGATTGACTTCAAATCACCCTGGATAAAGAAGAGAAGAAAGCTAGGTATTCAGAAGCATATCGCTCATAATCTTGTTCTCGCAAAGTTAATCTTCTTTATAAATCCATCTAAAATAAGACATGTCTTAAACTATTTTATTTAGAATATATATGCAGTTTATGAGAAGCAAAGCTGGGCTGGAGAACAACTTTATCAGAGATGCGTGTTCCCCATCAGTTTGGGCTGTTGCAGAGATTTTGTTTTTGTTAACGTGCTGTGGAACAAATTTTCTATGTTTCTTATTTTGTGCTTATACAGAAACTGTTAGGTTAACCTACAACAGGAAATTAAACGGTGCTGGGAGATAGGCTGGAGCAGATGTTTTTGCATCTGGAAGTTGCCTGGGAGAACATGCAGCGGTTGGCACATTCAGGGACGGTTTCCAGCAGGCAGTTTGGATGCGGCTGTCCCATGTAATAGGACAAGGAGGCTTTACAGAAGAGCAGAAAGCTCCACTGTGCCAAGAGGAGAAGTCTCCCAAGCATCCCAGATCAGGTTTATGTGAAATACAGACATTTACATCCATTTGCATCCTGACTTCAGATGATTTATTCTCAATGCATTGGGTGTTTTACATTTTACTTGGTCATATTTCACTTTACCTATGCACTACATCTCAATTCTGAAAAAAACAGGCTTATGTATTCCTCCTCAAGGATGCAAGTCCTAAAGCTTTTAGATGCATCAACCCTTTCTACGATCCAAGTAAATCCAGATCCAGGAAAAATGTTTCCTGCCAATGGTCCATTCCCCAGAGTAGTTAGAGTTGATGTTCACACCACTAAAATCACTTCATTTCTTCAAATCTGGTGGTTTAACATTTAGTCAAATCATGGGAGTTTTATTATTTTGTGACTTGTGATTCCCTTTCATCATTTTGCTTTTCTGCCTTCCCAAGGGCACCGGAGCAGTCAGATGCTACTAGAATTATACAATACTTAGGATAGATGAGGTCCCATTTGTTCCTTCTACTTCTATTAACAACTGCAAATTACGTGCCTGCTGCTGAATGTAATATTGTACCTGTTCTTTAAGAACTGCTAAGCAGTGGTAGATGTGGGCTTTCTTTAATCAGATCCTGCACATGGGTTATTCAATTGTTAAAGGTCATATGCTCAAGTGGGTAAAAAGGCAGTTGGTATTTTGAAAATAATTATTGTCACATCCTGCAATTGCCAGTGGCATAGGGAATGGTTAAAGCAAATGTTTGTGTTACCTGTTGACCATGATAAAATACAGCTAAAAGGAACATTGCCATCAGTAGTAAAGATGCTTCCTTTGTACCCAGGAAGTCTGTGCTGAAAAAAAAAAAAAGAAAAAGAAAAACAGAAAGAGTAAAATACAGTTATTGATTTGTCAGTATTTGTTGTAATCATGAAAGAGTTTCGTTTTGTAACCCTGGTGCTTTTTGTTGTTCACTACAAAACCACTGTGTTTTTGAAAATTTCGCTTCATGGCTCTTCCTCTTCCCTGGTAAAAGTCAGTGTACAGCTTCCTTGGCATGAAGAATAAGAATTATTTTCAGAGTTTTACACCAAGGAGACTCTTTCTTTGCCATGTTTGATTAGTGAAAGAAAATCAGAGACAATGACAATTATTGTTACCTTCAGTACTTCACTTAGCCATTGGATTATTTCCTTCTTGTCATATATCGTATTTTCTGGTCTTTGCCCAGATGTCATATCAGTAGATTCTAGCAGCATAACCAATGTTAGAAACTGGAAATGCATCTCAAGTTATTTAACATTTTAGTCAGTATCTTGTTGCTGTAGGAAGCTAGCAAGAAAAATACGTGTGCAGAGCCATATTATGTGTAAAGCTGTGGCTGTTGTGAGTACTATTTTCACCACAAATCCATGCTTATTTATCTTTCTGTGCATCTTTGGCATAGGATGGTCTGGCTGGCTGGCATATGCCCAGAGGCACAAGCAGTAGCAGTGCAAAATTGGTCAAGTTGCAAAGACTGGAAAAGAAGCTTTTTTCTAAATGAGTTAAATCACAGGTGCTCAGCTTCAGAGTTATTGCAGCACTTAGTGGTCTTCTGACTATGCAAATCTGGGTGCATCTTCTGTCCTTCTATCTGACCTTAAGCTCCTTTCCTAGGCCCGTCCCTCACATGCCCTCCTAGACCATCCCTGTGTTGTCCACACATTTAACAACTATATGTTATAGTTTGAGATCTGTGAAATCCTATCCTCAGAAAATAAACAGTTCACTCCTGTTTTCTTAATTTGAGGTCAGAGTTTTGATCAGTATCTGCACTTTTCAGCACTAGAAGCAACTGGTGTAAAGACTCTGGGAATCATATTATCTAGTTTATTCCCACAGAGCTTCATGTGCTGTGTTTCACTATCATTAAATAACCTTCCAGATTAGGAAATGATCAGTATATACTTTCTAAATACACTTTGTTTATGCCTGAGATATTGCTCTTGGGAAGAAAATACCTTGGCTCCAGAATAAAATTCTTGACCAGATCTAAGGAAATATCCAACCACCTGCTTTTAAGCAACATGGGTGGACTATGACAGATATAAGAGATAATCCTTCTCAATATTTAATTGTCATCATGAAATAAGCATTTTAATTAGGAGACTTGAGAAAGAATCACATCATAAATCTTTTAGGATTAGTCATTGCCCTTTGCAAACAACTCTAAATTCTTGACTATGGTGCTATTCAGTATGTGCACACTCTGGACATTCTTTTTTCTCCTAAAGGAGGCTACTAACACTTACTCTCCGCTGTGGTTAAAGTTGTCATATTGCAGGAAAAGGGAAGCATAAATAGTCTCAGTCAGGAGAGAATAGATCGCAATCATGATGAGAAGTACTGCCAGCTTCAGAACAGAGTTGAGACGAAGAAAGACTGCACAAGTCACCATTGCCAGCACACCGGTGAAGACGAAATACTGAAGAGAAACATCAGTGGTTGCTTTTAGTGATCAGTGATTACATACCCACCTACAAATATCTACATAAATGACCAAACGATGAAAAGTATCTTTTTTTTTTTTCCTGGATTTTGGAGATCCAGTTGGTCTTACTAGGATTCAGATTAATATCCTACTAAATAGAGCACTCAGTAGAACTCAATAGAACAGAAACTCCTTTTGGGCCATCATTGCATTTTCATACCACTCAAAGAAGGGGAAAAGGCATCCTGTGTAGTGAAAAGAGGAAAAGGCACAGATGCTGCATGTACCTATCCTAGCAGAAAGTCAGCTGAGTGAAAATCATTTCTTTTTCTTTGAATTCTGAAATTCCACAAAAGTCACATAAATCAGGATAAGGAAATCATATTCCTTCTTTCTTTCTTTATTCCTTTCCCATGTTATCTGAACAGAGGATAAATGTCTATTTATTTATTTATTATGTTACAAGCCCAGCTCAGTTTCACTCTTCTCTTAAAACATGATGCCTGGAAGTTTCATTTGTATCTCATTTTCTAATCTCTTCATTGTCTCATTTTTCTCAATGATTGGTCATTTGTCAAATGCAATGCATGCCGTTATTATTGGATACAGACAGACAATCATGGCCATGAGCTATTCAGATTTAAAAAAGCAATGCCAGCACCCAAAGTTCAAATGTAGTTTAAATTAGCTCCTATAATCTAGCATTAGGAGAGAACAGCAGAGTTCATTATTTTGAGTGTGCTTTCTCTTCAGCACAGTTCTCTGTAGGAATGTGTGCATCTAGGCAATTTTGCTGTATGCTGGTGGCAACATCATGACACAGCCTTATGACTTCCAAAGCAACATGCTTGTTTTAGTTGCACATGACTAACCCATTGGTTTTGTTACCTGCTTGTTCACCATAGAGAGCATTTTCTTTGCCTCAAATGAAAGTTCAAAATCACTACAGCAGAATCACTGATTATTATTGTTATTATTATTGTTATTTTGCTAGGTAAGAACTATTAGTCTCCTCCAATAGCTTCTTATGAATTAAGTAGCGGATTTTATTCCAGCTGGAACACTGATTTGCTGCTAGATGTGTTTACAATAATTTTAAAATATATAAGGAAAAAAAGCCAGACCTAGAGATCAGAGCAAATGAGATTCTGCTTTTAATAAAAAGACAGCTGGAAGGCTTAGTTTGGCCAAGCAGTTAGCAATGTCTTTTTGTGTCATTGATTTCGTAGATGGACAAGAATATCACTGAGCACAGATATTCCATTTTCCTTAATGAATTCTATTGAAGAAATAAAATTTGCTTTGACTTTTACTAAAATGCAGGATGCCTTTCATCTCTACTCATGTTTCAGCTTTTTGCTGCATGTTATGTATTTCCATGTATGTCCTTGGCGAGCAAGGACAGTGGAAAATTATACAGTATACATACAGGTTCTGCATGAAGCTCAAAGGTTGAAGCACGAAGGGTTTGGAGTTCATATAGTCTCATAGGGCCTATTACAAGACCTATGAGACCATAGGATTGATTATGTTTTTTAACTGCTTTTCCTTTTTCTCCAGTTTTCCTACCAGCATGTGATAGCTGCAAGGATTCAGATTCACAGAACTATTGAGGCACCTGACTCCAGCCTTAATATATTGCTTGAGGATTTCAGTCAGCAGATACCAGGTAACCTCTGTGGCCCTGTGCCTCAGATTCAAAGTTCCTACCTCAGGATAGGAACAGATGTCTGTAAAAGATGCAGATGAGTTGAATGTCTGGTTCTTCAGTAGTACTGGATTGTCAAAATCACACCATAGCTGTGAATAAAGAAAGAAAACAAAAGCAGTGATATATGGCACATTAGTGACTGGGTGCTTATGGGGCTGGCAGGATTCAGGGATGGAACCTATTGACATCCTACTCCCCTTGGTCCAGTCACAGCACCCACACTGGTATCAGATGTCTCAGAAGAAAGATCGTGCTAAACGAAGGCAAGATGACAATCTTGGTGGTAAAAAGACTGCATATAATTACTGCATTTCTCTAATATGACCTGAATCCACTTTAATGTTGTTTCATATAATTTTAAAAATAAACAAAATAATATTTTTCATTTGCAATATATCATGCTCTTAAATCACAGGGAAATAAAAATGCTAAAGTTTTCATGTTTTGACACTTAAAACAGATGAAGTCTCCTGTCACATATATTAATCCAATCTGGATGTTTATATAAGGTCATTTAATCATCCTGGTATGTGCAAGTTAGTTCCCCTGTTTCTCTTTCCAGCAGAGTTAGAGAGTTTGTTTAATGAGCTCCAGTTTCTTATAATTAAATTCTAATGAATTTTGAACTTGGAACTCACTTGTTTGTTCTTTCAGCAACTCAGATATCTCTGCATTGCAGCATATTTTCTGGGTTATTTGTGCAGTGCTCCATTACAACTGATAGCAAATTGTACTTTCTGCAAGTATACAAGGCACATAAGCAGGAGTGCCTCTGTGCCTTTTGAAAATGAAGGGTGCAGGACAACCATCCTGGGCATTTTTCTTAGAAGACCTGCAGGATCAGAAATTTTCTTCTATTTTTATACTGGCAAGGAGGTCTTATAGAGAACTCTGTGACTCGCTCTTCTGGTGAAACCAAAATGTTATCTTCTCTGCTGAAAAGAATCTGAGACTTTAGTCCCTTTCTATCTATCTGGGTTGAGTGGATGCAAATAGCTGCAAAGGCAGCTTCTTAAACACATGAAGGTCCCTACCGAGTGCTACATTTCCCTAGAAAGAACGCAGATCACTGCTGGGGTACTTGCTTCATGAAAGTACCCTTTTTTTGGTGGTGGGGGAGGTACAGAAAACAGTTACAATGCAAACTAATATTATGACAGCATTTTGATATACAAAATAATGGGATTATGAGTGTACTGTGATTTCCTGTAAAAGGTAGGACTTGGTGCCTCAAGTCATTGTAATTCTAAATATATGACTATAAATATATGACAGTAATCCAAGAAGAGACATTATAATGCATTCTTTCCTGATGTGTATTTGTCAAATACATTTTATAAGCCTCTAAATCCCATAACATTCTTCAGTAATCTATACAGTATCACTGTCCTTATCTTCAGCAAGTTTTCAGCACTATTGAACTTCCTATCATTTTAGCAGACTTGTAGTTCCTCTGTAAGTGTAGGAATTGGTGATTACATCCTTCCTCCTCCAGCTCATTGTCCTATCAGTGATTACAGGGTATCACAAGAAAACCAAGACAGATGCTTAATCCCTAGCATACTGACAGCCTATACATAGTCACAGAAGAATGGCAGCAATACAACAAAATACAATTTAATTGTATTTAATGCAATTTAATTTAATACAATTGTTAGCAATGAGAGTGCCAACCCTTGAAGGGTCTGACTTCAGCAGATCTGCTACCATAATATAATAAGCAAAATAATTATTGTTAAAGGACAATTATTGATGCCATTGTTGTGTTATAGTTGCTATTGTCAATATTATCAGTAAGGAAGGAATTATATATTTGCAAAGAATAAAGTTCAGCTGAAAAATACTTCTACGCCTTACTCCAAAGATGCTCTAGGAGAGAAAAGAGCGCTGTAAATATTATTTTTAATCCAACAGTGAGATATTTAGCTTCTCCCTGGTGCAGACTTTAACAACTGCTAGGCTTCCTGACATTATTATCTGCCGAATTCATGTGAGGCTTTCTCATGTTTCTGAAGGTGTTCGGATAATCAGCGCTCTATCACATTTGCATCAGTCTTATACCTGTCTTCTAATGATCCCAGTCAGTTACGATGCGACATTGTACACCGCCAGCCAGCCCCACAGTATTCGTCTACCAGTATTTTTATCTAAGCGCAATTATTCTGCAAATCTTGGTACCTGGCTTCCGTCATAGATACACTGATAATCTTTGCTCACTTAACTTTGGGCACTCAGTGGAAATGTGCAAATTAGGAGACCAATCAGTCTAGACTCCTTGTTGGAAAGTGGAGAGAAAAAAATCTCTAAGAGAATATTGCTATCATGCAGAACAAATCTTTGAGGATGCCGGTTATTCTGCACTGACTGTAAAGAAGCTTAGTGTGGCTATGCCTACACTTGGGTTCTTCAGCTGTAGAAGTGGCAAGGTATTATTAGATAATTTTTTTAACTTCCCCCATACTGTTGTTACTGTAGCAGCTTTACCTGATCTTTCCTTTCCACGCAGGTACTTTCTGGGTTTATTGGTCCTTCTCATTTTTTAATAACCCAATTGATAGAACTGCAGCATTAGGAATTTAATATCTATGAGCATCACCTGGATAAACAGTCCTGAAGAAATTGTAGTAGTATATTGGGAAATTACAAATGGTTTGCAAAGTGTGGATATATTGAAAAGAAAGTAGGAGAAGGGTTTTAAAAATAGATGATCCGTATAAGAAATAAATAATTAGATATTTTGGTGAAACATTGTTTAAGCAATAGATTGAATTTCCTGAAGCTGTAGTGCTCTTTTACATTTAAATCATATCTGATTTATAAACACATTACTTAGCAAGTAGTATACCAAGCTTAATAATTCATAAATCATCTTTTCCTGTATAATATTCCCTGTTTCCCTATGAAACTTACAATATTTATGATGGCTCCCAGAAAATTAATCAGAATGGATGCAAATATAATGACATTCCTGGCCAAGTAGGTCTCATTAATCCAGCAGCAAGTTTTCCGGAGCATTAAGGGTAAACATTTGTAATCCTCTGCTGTGGTGATTAGCACAAGAGCAGAGTGCAGCATAATCAGTATAGAAAACTGAATGACCATTGGTATCACCCTGGAAAGAAAAAAACAGAATACAGCATTAAATATTAAAGCAATACCTCTGCTAATAAAAATAAATGGGAAAACAGTTAAGACTAGGAAAATAACAGTTGTCATAAATCAGAAGCAATTACTTTGGAAAGAAACAAAGAGAAAGTGAGTCATTTGTGTTCCATAGAGTTGTTCATGTTCCATAGATTTGACCATCGCTTCATATGGTTTCTTGCTGAGTAACTGCTGTTGAAGTAACATGCCAGTAAAATCACTGCCAGTGCCTCTTACCAGTAGGAATGTCCCTGTTTTTAAGGACTCAGTTCTCCTCTGTGTCTCCTTCAGAGCTGGTCTCTTCACCTTGTAGGATCTGATGATACATTGTAAGAGCTTGTTTCTCTAGGGGAAGTTTGGAAGGGTGTTGTGTTCTTACATTCATACAGTGCAATGCAAGTGCACTGCATTAAACTCCTGCTAGTAACAAAGATCATTGGCTTTAAAGTAAGAAATTGCCTTAAAGCAAGAAATACAGCCTTATTTCTGGCATAGGTCTGGATGTATTAATTATGCAAAGGTAATACTTCCTTAATTTTAGTTAATATTGAGTCCACAGCAGGTAAAAATGCCATCAGTTTCTCAAAAAAAAAAAAAATAATAATAAAAAAGATCTACTGTTTTCACAGAAACCCTTTGAAATGTTGCATGGATGAAAATGTGCTCAATGATCCAAAAATTTATAAATAAATCATGTCATTTGGTGTATCCTCTCAATTTTCTTATTGCTAATGTGATCTTTAATCAAGAGTTATTCCATTGAAAAGAATTATCATCCAAAAAGAGGATTCAATTCCCTTGAAAAAAATATTAAAAACAGTTTCTTAACTGTTCAACTTTTTTAAAAAAAGTTTGTTTCTTTTCATCTGGTTTAAATCTGGGACTTGTTATAAGTCAAGCAAATGACATGCTTGAGAAATGTGGCAAATCGTTTTACTCTTCTGAGAACAAAGCCCTCAGCTCCTCACAAGTCAACTATTTGTACCCGTTTGTGCCAGACATTGTCTTTTTGTATTTCTTTTCCCAAAGTTTTTATTTTGACTGAACTCATGCAAATGAAAAATAACTCCACTGTTCTCTCTGCAAACCAGCCTTCACTCTGCTTCCTCTTGCCTTTTTGCAATACAGAGGATGATTAAAACTGAGTCATGTAGTTAGGTAATTAAAATTACTAGCAACCTAGTTCTGCATGGAGATTTAATCATGGTTTCTCAGAGAATAAAATCTTTGCAAGAAGAGAGTCAGGGCAATCCAGGGGGATTTCCGCACTTCCAAGTGGCTGAATGTAGGCAAGGTGTACTCTGCTCATTGAGCCTTCTGTAAAGATATATTCGTTTTGCTGAAGATATGAAGTTGCAGATGTTGCTCTTCTCTTGGGGCAGAGTGCAGTGCTATGTTTGTGTTTGGGCCTTGGTGAAAGACAAGTTTAAGGCTGAAGGGTAGAAACAGGAGGGAAGGCCTCAACATAGCTTTTATTTCCACATTTTTCAGTAGATTTAGGTCAACCAGATTCACTGCTTGAATCTAAATGTATAGGACTGAAACATAACAAATTTATCCACTGTTTCAGGCTATTCAAATTTTTCCTAAGCATAACAAATTCTAAACTCAAACATATTTGAATTCAAATCTGCATTTCAAGCCTACAAATAACAAAGGTCTCACTCTAGAAAGAGGCACTATAAGCCAATATGTAAAGAGTCCATTGCAAAGAGGGAGCAAGACTGTAATAATGATAGAAGATTTACACAGATAACCAGAAAAGGTTCAGAATATTACTGCCAAAGATCTGACATTTCTTAGCTCTTTCTTATAGCCGATAGCTAGAGTCCAAAATATTTGCACAAAGGAGATCCCAAAGATGTGGTAAGCAGCTTATGAGAGAGCTGTGGGTATAGCTTCCTAGTAGTAATCATGATTTTAAGAGATTCTCTAAAAACTGAATAAATCAAAAGTTTGTATTCAGGAGAAAATATGTTTGGCAGGAAAAAATAGACAGAAATTTGAGTGTATATGTAATCTGTTGAAGTTAGAAAAAGGTACAAATAACACATGAGAAACAGATGCCAAAAGTAAGGGATCTCTAAGTGCAGAATGTTGCTTCTGTGTAATGTCTAAACCTGCATGGTTTTAAACCTCATTTTCTTTTGCAAGAGTACTCTGATCTTTTTTTCCTTAATTCAGTTGTGATAATAGTTACATTAAATCTGACAGTGCTTTAAGCACGATATCTATATAAATGTTAATTCTTTCTGATCAGTTAGACAAAGTTATAGAATGACTTTTCTTAAGCATGAAGATAAATTAACAGAAATTGCTTTAAACTTTTTTGTCTATCACCTACTAAAATTAATCTAGTTAACATAGAAGTATAATGAATGTATAAAATTCTGAAAATGGACTGGAAGTCAAACAGAGCGGTATATAGTAATGTGGATTTCACTTATAACTACAACTGGTAAATACACTCAGAATCTCAGAATTAATGAGACTTGGCGAGTAGCATTCCAGAGAAGAAAATGGGTTAAAGAGATAATAAATGAATTAGGAGGCTGTAGTTAGCAGAGTTTTTCTTGTGGAACATATCTGAACTGCTATATGTGAGAGTTACGTGCATAAAATCATGATGTTTATAGTTGTAAATTGTGTCACAAAAACTTTTAAAATAAAATAGTAAAGATATTAAAATGGATGTTCTGTGATTGAATATACTGAATTAAGGTGATTATGTATTAAATTCCCTTGACATTTTCTGTGTGGTAGTATTAGCTTTGAAAGTAATACGATGATGCTACCAGATGGAGACACTATGCAATCATGGCTTGAGCGGAGCCTCTGTCTGTGAAAATACACAGACAGTTACTGATGCTTTTTAGAATAACAAGGTATGTTCATAGATACACTCAGGATACACTGATGACCAGAATATGGCAAAAAAGAATTAGGTGTGAAATGGGTAGTCTTGGAGATAGAAGTCCTTTCTTCTTGGAGCAGACAGGACATTAAACAGTCCTGTTTTTCTTTTCCTCACTGATGAGAAATTGTACAGTCTCTACTAAAACTTGAATATCAGGTGAAAAAGATACTTAAAAATAAACATAGATATTAGGAAGCAATATAGTCAATAGACAGTCAATAGGCTGGCAATTGAAAAAAAAAGTCAATAAAGCCAGGGCCAAGCTATACATTACCATAATGGAGAGCTAGTCAAGAGTCGAGCGAGCTATTCAAGAGACCTGGGATATGAGTTATGGCACAAGTCATTTTACTGCAGAGCTGTGACCTACATTTGTTTAGATGATTGTCACCTTGAGATCCACTGATTACATTGACCAGTTCTCCACTGGCTCTGCCTTGAACACAGACTAGGAACATTGACAGCTACAGTTATGGGAGATGAGTTTCTTCAGTCTTGTACACTACAGCAGTATTCTGTGATAGTCTTCCTCCTTCCCAAAGCCAAGTGGCTGAGATCCTCTTGGGAACAGATAGTGTCTATCTGTATCTCAGATATACACAGACAGTCTATATTTGCAGATATAGCCTAACAGTTCTTCAGACCTAGCCTGACTCAGCTCAAAATAATGCCAAAATAAGGTTTTCAAAAGACTATGAGAGTATGGGAAGTAAAGCCTCAGACCTGAGGACAATAAACATGGGTTCTTATTTTGGACTGCCAAACTCCAGGTTCAGGATACAGCACTGCTGAATTATATGAAAAGGTATTATATGCAAAGATCTTATATGTAAAACTTCTCAAGACCTAAGTCAAGGATATCAATCTGAAATTCAGCCTAATCCAATTAGGTGCCCGAGAAACCATGGGTGTGTATTTGCTGATAATAAATATGTAAATAATAAAACTTCCATTGTAGCTGAACTGAACATTAATACATTTCTTCCATTGAAGACTGCTTGAGATAAATGACAAAATAGGACTTCACACCCCTAAGGTGTCCTTGAGGATCAATATCATGCTCTCAGCATGCCAATGGCACCAACCACAGCAGAAGACACAGTCAAGGTTGGCACTGTGGAAAGAACCAAACATAATGCTCTTTTATCTCCAAGAATTCAAAAGTGTCTCAAAAGTGGGACGCCAGGCTTTGATCCTGTCTTCACTCAAAAAGAGTTTCAAGACCACATATTTTTCTTTCCAAGGATTCCCTCACTCTTAATTTCAAGTGTGATTTAAAATGTAGCCTTTGGCTTCTCTCTTTCTGATGTACAATTAGAAACCGAGAGTTCTGGAGCCAGAAGAAAATCTTATGAAAAAAAAAGTGAATGTTTAAATGAACAATAATTTTGAAACATCTTTTTCTTTCCTCAAGCCAGTGGAAAAATGTCATATATAAGATTAGCACAGAAGCTCACACTAGTAGGATCTATTGGCCCATGTGAGCATATAGAAAGTTTAGAGCAAGAGATTAATCACCCTTCCAGACAACTCAGATGGAGAAGATAAATCACTACAAGGTTGGCAGTGTAAGTAAGTTAATGGCTTCGTAAAGGATAATTACAGCAGAATTATGACATTCATTTATGTTATAAAGTAATTTCTCCAACTCAATATTTCAAGGAATGAAAACTAGTGAATAGATTCCTAAATTCAGTGATGAACTTTTCCTGTCAGGAAGGAATATGAATGGATCAAATATTTATCCTGCGGGAGACAGATACAAACTGAGATAAAATTTGGCAACTCCCATACATACTGAAAAAGATGACTATTTTCTTTAACACACAGACTAAGGCAAACTATCTGGAAAGATCCCTTAAGATCCCTAATAACATATTTTTATGATCATTCAAATTATATTTTCTTCCACTATGTTTCCAGAAATCCCCCAAAGAGTCAGCTCATCAAAGTATTCAAATATATACTTAAGCAAATGCATAATTCCATCCTGTTAGTCTCCAAATTCTGCCTAACTTTGTGATACCTTGTTCTCATATCGTCTCATATGCTCATATCTTAACTGGAACTTAGTTATTTTTTTTTCAAAATGTTTAAACTTTCTTTGTCCTCGAACACCCACATCTATTATTTTACGATTGCTTTAGATGTTGACCCTGCTCATTTAAAAATGAAGCCTTTTAAAGACTGAGAACTGTTTTGAGGCAGAGTATCAACACTTGAAAAATGAAGATAAAAATTTGCGTTCTTTAACCCTGACAATGAACTCCTAGATGAATATAAGAATTGCCATAAAATATCCACCTCACTCTATTTATTTTTCTCTCAAAAAGGACAGTCGTAAATGCTTTTTCCTAAAATATCTTACCAGCTTCTAGCAATCAAACTTAAAAGGCATTCCTAAGGCCAAGCTTGCATCATTTTGTATATATATATACGCTCATATATATATATATATATAATCTGCTGATTCCTGTTAAGAATAGATCTAATGTTTCTTTGACCTTTTCTATATTTATAGCCTCTTTAGCATTTAGTGACACTAAGGTCCACAAAGAACTTGTGAAGTGAAAAAAACCCACAAGACTGCTGTGTGGTTTAGGAAGTTCCATGACTCCCTTTCTCTTCATTACAATGGCCCTAGATGCTCTCATGACAATTAACAGAGATGAAAATGTACAGATAGAAAAAATGTCATGTTGCTGGCAAAGCAGTGATTAATAATAGTTACAAAAATCTTGGGAAAAAATATACATTAATAAGATCCATAAACCTTGTTGTACATACAGAAGAAAAATATATAAATAGCAGCTAACAAAATTTAAGCATTTTGGGTGTGTATGTAGAGACAGACTGTAGAAAAGTAAACCAATTTACTAATACTAGAGAAATATAGCACATAAGGAACAGCAGAAGGCAAGCACTAGTCTGGGTGCATTTACAGCTAAGAACAACTGTAATGCTCTAGTATGAAGCCTTCTACTTGCACCTATTCAGCATTTTGGTATTCTAAGACACAAATGCAGTGAACTAGGACCTCCAGGGATGATCCAAGAAATACTGCTGCAATTCTATAACATAATAAATTTCTTATTTCTTACATAAGCACTGTGTTTTCAAGATTCTCCTACAGCAGAAGCGCATCAAAGTAGTAGAAACCACCTTACGACTTTGTGCCTCTGAGCATTTCCACTGCAGTTCTTGCTCTACTATGGGTCAGCTAGGACCATGGACATTTTTTAGCAGTAGTAGATGTTCTTCTGGGTATGCCATGAATCCGGAAAATAGGCCATGTTCCTAGTACACTTTCTTGCTGTTGTCAACATTTAACAGTAGACAAAAATGCCAGTTGATGGGTTTTGCTGCGTTACATGATGTGGACACAGAGGCCACTTCAGTGTTGCTTAGTCTTCACCTGAGTAGGAAGTTGCCATTTGTCACACAGCAGAGGTGGAATCGCCTGCTTGCCTGTGTTTAACAGCACAAGAGTGCTCCCCCCGGGTAGGTGAAACCTATCATTAGCAGCTAAGTGCAACTATACAATTTGCTTCTGTAGTGTGCACAAACAAAAATAAAACACTGATCCACAATGTGATTACCAGTCTCTTCTCAAAGGAACACTGTAATAATCCTGGATCATGTTTTACTTCAACACTAGAAGCAAAAATCCATACTATGTCATTTTGGCAAGCCAAAGTTCCCACATATCTCAGTGGGAGATCTCTGCTTAAAAACATTAAAGTGTAATGTCAATAGATGCTTCTGTCTCTCATACGTAAGTGTGAGGCTGCAGATAATATGATACAAAAGCAGATAACAAGGAAAAGGAAAGATGCACAAATATTTTAATGCACTTTGGGGAACAAGTAGGTTTTCTTGGCTTATTTCACAGCAATCTTAGAAATGTTATCTCACTCGTTCCCCAAGAGTGACTTCAGGCTTAGAGCAATACCCTTCTGTATTTACCTGGAAGAAGGAAGTAAGCTTTGGATAGCGGTGATAAATACAAGAACAATAAATGCGCACACCAAGTTTGATTTGAATACCTCGTCCCGCATTTGAGAGTACTGCAATAAAAAAAAAGAAAAAAAAAAGAAAAAGCAAATCAGCTCTTAAACCATACAGTGGTTTCATAAAGACTGATGCATTTAAGAGGCTTTGGGGAAAGTAGTAGAAATAGATTAATAAATATGAGTTGCCTTTTTAATGAAAAACAACAAAATTAATAAATAAGCTGATAGAATACTTTATCCAAGTAAGCAAAACTATGTATTTTTCATCTATAATACAAATTTTATTTGTTTTTTTATTTTTTTCCAAAGTATCAGCATTAAAAAGAATTAGTAGATGCTAGAGACTCTACCTTCTGAGTAGAGCATTAAATATTTAATAGTTTAACCATGGAAAGCATTTTTTTCTCACCTGAAGACAAACCCTGAAGTCAGCAGTGGCTACCTGCATGCATGACACGTCAGAAAGGTCTCCTTGCTTGCCAGACTGTGGCCATTCTGATTTCTTTTTTATTTTTATTTTTCCAAAAAACATCCAGTTGGGGACATTCTTTCAACTGTTGCATCACTACTCTTTATATGAGATTTACTCCAGAAATTGAGTAACTTGGATACGTCCAATAAAAGTATATCAGTCAAAGTGGAAACATCACCCAAATCCTCAGCTGGTATAAATCACTGCTGATTCAGTCCAACTCCAGTTATTTACAGAAGATGGAAGTTTTTCCATGGATTTATTACTGAAAAACCTCTTTATTCTACAGTGATGATACTGAATTTTCTTTACCAAATACAACAAAAAAGGCACAAGCCCTGCACTAGTCATTTTTCCTCTGGAATCTCTTCTGCATCGTGTTTGATCTTTGACAGTTTGGAGGGTGCAAAGAGTTACGTATAAAAAGAACGAAGAATATTAGAGTCAAACAGCTATCTGATATCATCGTCCTTCTCAGGGAATTTGTAAATAAGAGAAAACAAGAGTTGTAAAGGTCCAGAGTGAATTTGAGAAAAATGGAATCGGGACATGGACCATATGAGGAACAGGTATTGAGAGAGTTCAGCCCTGATCTCCTGCATTGTAGAGCTGAACTGCTATGGTAGGAAGATCCTGCACAGACTTAAACCATAGTTACTATGTGCACCCTCAATAGGGGCTTCATCTTGACTGTAAGCAGACTATAACTCCTTAAATGAGAAAGGTGATTTTCTCTTTCCTGCTCCCATTTGCTGTGAATACAGGTGTTTCGTTTCTGACCTCCTGTTTTAGGCTATCTTCTGCCACTTGCAGCAGCACTATGACTTTGATGTGATTTTTAACACTGCTCACAGGCAACTCAATTTAAATTGCTGTTGAGAGCATGGAGGGATTGAACCCAATACCATGGGGAGGAGGACAGCACTGCGTCAGTCTACTTAAGGAAAAAAGAAAGTGAATTAAACTTCAGAAAGTTCTACTGTTCATCAGCTTACTTACCAGGGGCAGGCTCCTACCTTCTACACCAGGAGAGAAGTAGAAGTTTGAAGTGAGGTGAGCTGAGGTGAGTTCAGTTTACCTAGATTGGCTTGGGTTTTTCAACAGCAATGGCAAAATGATTGTATATATGAGAACTGCCATGTTCAGATCAGGTCAACTGCTTTCTGTAAATATGAACTACTTCTCCTCTTAAATATCATTTTTTTTAACTTTTCATAAATTTAGCGGTGTTTCATACATCTTTTTTCAAAATGTTTCATAGGTTAGGCAAGCAGAATTATTAAAGGCTGCTTTGCCTGCCTGTGTTATATGACTCTAGATTTTGGTGCAAAAAGAATTAAAAGGAAAAAGAAAGGTAGGTTTCTTAAAAGATAACATGAAATCTCAACTGTTGCTTAGGGAAATTAGAATAAATTAATTGAGTGAAATACAAACATGGAATTTCCTGCTGTTTGGAGTGTAATGTCAAAAGGATAAATGCTCTGATCTAATCAGTAGTAATGTTGCAATGAAAAATTGTCATTAGTGTGTCTAAGGCAGCACCAATACTGATGATAAATGTAGCACTTTAGCCATTTCCATTTTTAAAGTCCTTTGAGTAATTAAGAAGTAGATTAAGCCTTGTGGCTCTTCTGTAAGGGCGGGAGGCACATAGCTGCTTTGAGGTAAGTGGAGCAGGAGTAGGGATCATGGCATGACCTACTCTGCAATCAAAGCAGTGATATCCCACAGACCTACCTGAGCTGGTGTGACTTGATCACAGCCTCTGGCAGAATGTCCACAGCAGCAGGGAGGTCAGTGAAGGCTCATCCTGCTTCTCAAGAGAGCTGAGCCATTTCCTTAGGACTCTGTGCTGTTGTGGTTTATCCACGTGCAGCCAGCTAGCCCAGAGTTAGCTTGAGTCAAGAAAGCATAATGCTGCTCCTGCCCATAGATGCTGGTCATCACTTTTCTCTCTTCTCCCGTGGCTCCTCAGAAGAGGAGCACTGGGCAACTGAGATTCCAGCAGACTTACTTAAGTAGTGCTATGTAAAGTGAGCCAGAAGAAGGCTCAGCATTCAGGACACTATGGCAACAGAGAGTCTGTAATGGATAGAAGCTATATTTCAAACATCTTCAGAATGTTCTGGGGCAGCTCTCCCTTATTTCTTACATAAGAATAACCCTTCACTTTTAGACTACTGTGAGGAGGAGAGGACCAGATTAATTCCTATGTTACATGTTCACCTAGAGACAGTGATTGGACATCAGGAATGAATGCTGTCAACTCTATCCTCACTGGTGCACTTTAACTCTGGTTGGACCTACGGTTAGAAGGGGAATCGTTTTGTGTTTTTTCTCCATACCAATGGTGCTTACACAATAGGAAAGCTGAAGATTGAGGCTGGGCCAGAAGAAGACATGTTAGGAACCCAAGTCAGGAATACAGGTGAAGGAACTATTGAGGAGAGCATAGCGCAGATGTCCAGACCCAGGTCCCCAGTGACAAAGAAGGTAATGAATGGGCCCAGAGCTTGCCAGGCTTTCTGCAACTGGGAAAGCTACTGGAAGTTTCTGTATTGAATAAAATAGGTGAAGCCTATATCTGCAAGGATACAATAAGTAGAAAGGGAAAGATTTGATTCCTAGTCACTTAATTTCAGTTTCATACTTCAGAACTTCTGAAAAAGATGAACTTAAAGATCCAGGTAAAATTTTGGACTTAAGATAATCTGTAATGAGAAATTCAAAGCTCTTTTTGGTATTTGCAGTGGGCTCACCTAACAAAAAAGATGCAACACCACCTCTACATTCAGTCAGATTAGGGTTCCCAATAAAAATAGGAAGGTTTAGAATACCTTTATAAACATCTTTAGACTGGAAGCTTTCCTTAATAAAAGCTCTTCCAGAATGCAAAATTCCCTGTCCCATTACCCTGCTTCATCCTCTATGAAAGTGCACATTTCTGATATTACCAAGTCACTACTACTGAAGTGGTATCAGATTTTCTTTATATGCTACTATATGTATGGAAACTCTCTGAGTAATTTTACACTACTTTCAGAAGTGTTTCAATCATGTCTTTTTTGCTTTCTCTACCTACATCCGATTTAAGAAAACAACCTCTAGCAAATTTGAGAGTGAATTACACTCCAAGTAAGATATAAAGTGCTAATGAGTGAGATACAGGTTAACAATGAGTAATGTACTTGGGAAAGGTATCTATAAAATAAACCAGGTAAGAATCTTGTACAAATTATTTGGGAAATCATTGAGTTTTTACAAAATATATTTGAGAGATTACCTAGAGGTGATAACACATGTAATTGTTCTTGCTTGCTGTGGAATTTACATATCCCAGGAAGGACATAGAATGATAGAATCATAGAATGCTTAGGGTTGGAAGGGACCTCTAGAGATCATCTAGTCCAACCCCCCTGCATATGCAGGGACACCTAGAGCACGTGGCACAGGACTGCATCCAAGCAGGTTTTGAAGATCTCCAGAGAAGGAGACTCCACAACCTCTCTGGGCAGCCTGTTCCAGGGCTTTGTCACCCTTACTGTTAAGAAATTTTTCCTCAAGTTCCTATGGAATTTTTGGTGTTTCAGTTTCCGACCATTTCCTCTAGTCCTATTGCTG